AAACAACTACCACATAAATTATAAATATTAATCAATACTATATCATTATTTATCCTCTTATCTACACTCATAAAAATTTTTATAATATCTTATTGCCCTTAAAAATAATAATTAAAATTCAATTACTTACAGGCTACAGCTGCAACACAACCGTCATTGAATAAGACCAAGCAATACACGGATTGTGAGAGCAGCATCCTTTATTTAATCTTCTATAGCAAGTTGGTATTAGGAATAATTTCCAAGATAACATTCCCTATTAATCAGTGTATAATTCAAATAATATATTAAATTGAAGAAATAAAATATTATTTGATATTAACTTACAGAGAATGTCTCTTAAACTTGTTAAAAAATCATCTTTAAATTTTTATTTATTATAAAATTATATTTATGCACAATAAATGCTAAGTAGCCTATGGTTCGATGCATGATTGGGGACTTCAGTCCTCTACTGTAACTAAGATTGAGGTTTCGTTTGGGACAGCTTTCTTGCTGCTTTCTAAAACAACATTTAAGAAGAAAAAATTTTTGAATTAGAAAATTTTATATTAAAAAACTGTTTTTGAAAGCAGTACAAAAGTTATCCCAAACGAAACCTGAGTGTCGATTGTAATGCGTGCATTAATCTTATGATTATATTTACTCAAGAATTATTTTAAAAAGCACAATGGAGTCCATTGGGGCAAGTCAATTTAAGCTTGTTATCATAAATGTTACATGGAAATTCACAATTGACTTGGTCATATTTTCCCATTAGGTTGGAATAATTCTTGAAGTCCTGCTCAAGTCTACTATATGGGTAAGCTAGAATAGATAATTATATGATAAGAGACCCCTTCAATTGATAGTAGAATCCTCCATAATTTGATAATGTATGAGCTTAGGCATTATCCCAAATGGAACAAAAAAACTCATGAAAGCAACATTACTTTGCATCCAACACTTATTTTTGATGGATTAAATCGATACAATTTACAATACAGCTCTTCAAAACACATATTTAGAAAAAAAAAAGCTTAAGGACTTCATAAAAGAAAATACAAAGAATAATTTCACAATATCACAAATAATTGGCTGGCTTTTGCTTTCCACTTTATTTTCCATTGTTGCAGAGGTGATATCCATTTGATATGATGAAAAGGGGTAGCCTTAGTCAGCTTTATTGCATTCACAAGTACTCGAATTTTGTTGCCATATGAAAATATACTTTTTGTTGAAAACATAAAGTGGTGTTGGTTGACATAAGTGATGAGGGATAAGAGGAGATTTGTAATTGTGAGGAGGAGGTGATTAAAATAGAAGAGTAAAAGGTGAATGAGATGGTATAAGTGGTGATTTAGAGTGATAGCGATGAGGAGGAGATGATGGTAATGGTAAGGGTGGTGATTTTTAACGATAGGGAGGAGGTGGGGAGTGAGTTGGTGGAGGAGGAGAGCTATAATGATAGGGAGGTGGTGGGGATGGTGATGGTGGTGGTGGGGATTTATAATAGTACGGTGGAGGAGGTGATGGGGATGGTGGAGGTGGTGATTTGTAATAGTAGGGAGGAGGTGGAGAAGGAGATGGTGGAGGGGGGGATTTATAATGATAGGGAGGTGGAGGAGAGGGTGATGGTGGGGGTGGGGATTTGTAAAGGTAAGGTGGAGGAGGTGATGGTGATGGTGGGGGAGGAGATTTGTAGTAGTATGGTGGAGGTGGTGAAGGAGATGGGGGTGGAGGAGACTTATAATGATAGGGCGGTGGAGGAGATGATGATGGTGGCGGTGGGGATTTATAATGGTATGGTGGAGGAGGAGACGGGGATGGTGGTGGTGGTGATTTGTAGTAATAGGGAGGTGGAGGAGAGGGTGATGGCGGGGGTGGGGATTGGTAATGGTATGGTGGAGGAGGTGATGGTGATGGAGGGGGAGGTGATTTGTAGTAGTATGGAGGTGGTGGTGAAGGAGATGGGGGAGGAGGAGACTTATAGTGATATGGAGGTGGAGGAGAGGGTGATGGTGGTGGGGGAGATTTATAATAATATGGTGGAGGAGGAGATGGGGATGGTGGGGGTGGTGATTTATAGTAGTATGGAGGAGGAGGAGAGGGTGATGGCGGGGGTGGGGATTTATAATGATATGGTGGAGGAGGCGATGGTGATGGAGGGGGAGGTGATTTGTAGTAGTATGGAGGAGGTGGAGAAGGAGATGGGGGTGGAGGAGAACTATAATGATATGGAGGTGGAGGAGAGGGTGATGGTGGTGGTGGGGATTTATAATGGTATGGTGGAGGAGGAGATGGGGATGGCGGAGGCGGTGATTTATAGTAGTAGGGAGGTGGAGGAGAGAACGATGGCGGGGGTGGGGATTGGTAATGGTATGGTGGAGGAGGTGATGGCGATGGTGGAGGAGGTGATTTATAGTAGTATGGAGGAGGTGGTGAGGGAGATGGCGGTGGAGGAGAACTATAATGATATGGAGGTGGAGGAGAGGGTGATGGTGGGGGTGGGGATTGGTAATGGTATGGTGGAGGAGGTGATGGTGATGGTGGGGGAGGTGATTTGTAATAGTATGGAGGAGGTGGTGAAGGAGAAGGTGGAGGAGGAGAATTATAATGATATGGAGGTGGAGGAGAGGGTGATGGTGGTGGTGGGGATTTATAATAATATGGTGGTGGAGGAGATGGGGATGGTGGGGGTGGTGATTTATAGTGATAGGGAGGAGGTGGGGATGGGGATGGAGGAGGGGGTGATTTATAATAATAGGGAGGAGGAGGAGAGGGTGATGGAGGTGGTGGAGATTTATAATAGTATGGTGGTGGAGGAGAAGAAGATGGTGGAGGTGGTGATTTATAATAATATGGAGGTGGTGGAGAAGGAGATGGAGGAGGAGGAGACTTATAATGATAAGGAGGTGGTGGAGAGGGTGATGGTGGTGGTGGAGATTTATAATGGTATGGTGGAGGAGGAGAAGGAGATGGTGGTGGTGGTGATTTGTAATAATATGGAGGAGGTGGGAAAGGCGATGGAGGAGGTGGAGACTTATAATGGTAAGGAGGTGGAGGAGATGGTGATGGTGGAGGTGGTGATTTATAATGGTATGGTGGAGGAGGAGAAGGAGAAGGTGGTGGTGGTGATTTGTAATAGTATGGAGGAGGTGGTGAAGGGGATGGAGGGGGAGGAGACTTATAGTGATATGGAGGTGGAGGAGAGGGTGATGGTGGCGGTGGAGATTTGTAATGGTATGGTGGTGGAGGAGAAGGAGATGGTGGTGGTGGTGATTTGTAGTGGTATGGTGGAGGTGGTGAAGGAGATGGTGGAGGAGGAGATTTATAGTAATAGGGAGGCGGTGGAGAGGGCGAGGGTGGCGGTGGAGATTTATAATGGTATGGTGGAGGAGGAGAAGGAGATGGTGGTGGTGGTGATTTATAATAGTATGGAGGAGGAGGAGATGGAGATGGTGGTGGTGGGGATTTGTAATAATATGGTGGAGGCGGTGGGGAATAGGAAGGTGGAGGTGGAGATTTATAGTAATAAGGAGGCCAACTAGATTGTGGTGGTGGTGGTGGAGATGAATAGATATATGACTTAGAATCTGCCTCTACCACGGTACTGATAAAGCACACCACCGCCACAAGCAACAGTTGCGGCGCCTGCCGCAACTTGCGGTGACCTTCCATCATCCTCCGTTGCGAATCAACCGATGGAAAACCCTTTGTTTGCTCCCACCTCCTAACCTCAAGTTATGAGGAGATGAACACTTTGAGTGCTTTGCATGGCTTGAACTCTTCCCTTTATATAGCCTCCCTCCCAATCTCATTCCCCTCTCATCACACTAATCTAATAGTTCCTGCAAGCTGCCTATTTAGAGGTTTTTTTTATTATTATTATAATTTAATCTCCAACCCGTTTGTTGGCTCCCAGTAAGCCGCCTCTCATCCCCACGTTGGAAATGAGAACAGCGCTTGAAGTTTGAATAAATCAATTGAATAAAAGGGTCAGATTTGTAAATAAGAATTTGTTATCCAGTCAGGGCCAGGGCCCAATGTAGTAGGTAGAATATATTAGTGTGCTGCAAGTCTTGAATATGTCTTTAGAAATAGGTGACATTAGTTATTTGATGAATCCAGCTGTAAAGCCGTGTTCAATTATAAAAATAAATAAATAAAATATGAAAATTATGCCAACTTGATCTGACATTTGAGAAATTTTGAAATGTAATTATAAAAAGTTCGGGTGGTATTTTGATAGATGATGATCAGTCGTTATTATTACTAGCATCTTGCCTGGCTATTTGATAGTGAAAAAGGGCATTGTGTTCTAGCTTTTTATAAAGTAGAGGTTAGAAAAATCACTTCCATGAAATTTTTTGAATTGTCTATTAATGAGATGATATGCTCATTTTGCTTTTGTTGATGTTGGTGTATATGAATGAACAGAGATTTGGAAATGAATCATATGGTTCTGAAAAGGTTCAATCTGTAAATTCAAGTCCATCTGAACTCTCGCTCAAAAATTTATAAATAGTCCTACAAATCTGTAGTTGAATTGGAAACTTAGAGTATGTACTTTAGCTTAAGATTCAAGAGAGCTCCGAGACTCTAAGGATCCTGAAGCATGACCCGAGCACTATTGTCGAGCCACCGTCCTACCATAGTTGTTGGAACATCGTAGTTTGAATGTAATTGTCTAACCACAGCTGGACCGACGATATCGAACAACCGCTCGATGCTTTCATTAGACCACCACCCAAATGCCAGTATCAGACAACCGCATGACCACCATAATCGAACAACCGCAACACTGTGGCCTTCATAACAATATTTGAGACCGTCATCGAACCATTGGCTGATCGCATTGGAATATTACCCAATCACTATTGTTGCATCACTATTCTTTAACCAACATTGCCCGACTACAGCCATCAGACCACCATTGCCCAAAAACGATAGTTCGACCATCATTGTTCAACTACAGGCCGCCAACCACCATCGCCCGACTATGGTCCAATCACCTCCATCACCATACTATAATTTTTTCAACCACCATCACCTGACTTCAAGCAGTGACCACCATTGTCTGACTAAGGTCCATTGACCAGCATCGCCATGTCACGGCCTGCCGGCCACCATAGTCCGACTACAATCCATCAACCTCCATTGTCTTTCTATTGTTCATTGAGCTACACCGCTCGACTAAGATCCTCTAACTATTGTTGCCCAACTACGGTCCTCCAACCACCATCTTCTGCTACAAGCCAATAACCACCATCTCCTGACTACTATCCAGCAATCTCTATTACCCAACTATGGTCTGCCAATGTCCATCTCTTAATTGTGGTCCGTCAAGCATAATCACCCAACAAAGATTTTACGACCTCTGTCATCCGACTACATTCTTGTGACCTCCGTCGCCGACTACGATCCTTCTATTACTGGCGCCCAATTATGATCTTCCAACCAATATTACTTGAGTACAGTCCTCCATCCGACATCACTTGGCCTAGGCCTTCCAACCACCATCAACTGACTATAATCCTTTGGCCACTATCACCGGACTATGATCCTCTATCCATCATAGTCCAACTATGATTCTCCAAACTCTGTAGCCTGACTACAATCCTTCATGTCATCATTACAATCTTTCAACCGTTATTGTCTGGCCACTCCAATGATTGTTAACTATATCACCTACCATCACTAATACTACATACGCACTCTATTATTTATAAGATTAATGTGCATCATTGATATCAACTCCGACTCCCACAATCAGCAATAGGAGTTATGTTGAATTTATTAGTATGTGATTATCTCTTCTCAAAGGAGTGCAACCAACAATTCTCATGCGACAAGGCTCTTCAAAATTCAATCATAGAACGAGTTATTTACATTATATCCATTCCTTCCATCCACAAAGGTATGATTTGTAATTGATAAGAAGCACTAATGAAATAATTAAATCTTAATTTTGCTTCATACAAAAATAAATCAGAAAAAAAAAAAAGTAACATAATGGTCATATCATAGGTGAAAGCAAAATGCCAAAATCCATATCTTCATCTAAGTTGTATAATTAAAATATTATTTTCTTATTTCTACTAACTATATAAAAACAACTTTAGTGATCTTACGTGAAAATGCTTTGAACTACTCTAAAATTATGCAAAAAATATTAACCCTAACTACTTTTATAATCTATAATTAAGCTGTAATTATATGTATATAATACAAAGAAGGTTGTTTGTGATTAAATAATCATTAGTGTTAATTATTTAGGTTAGGTTTGTTAAATTTAATCTCTGATGATGTCGACATCAAAGGGGGTGGTTGGGTGGGACCCATCGGGGTTTGACGAGGTTTGGATTGGTGGGCCTAACTCCACGTCAGCATCAGAAATTGTAGATTATATCCTCTATAAGAACTGTTGGAATTGATTGGTAAACTATCAAATCTTAGCCATATAATTTAATTTGGACGGCAATTGACAAAGTCAAGAAAAGAGCGCGTTTAAGGGAAATGCTTTTTGGATGTTATAACTGTAAATGAATAAAAAATATAGCCTCATGAGATACTTATTAAATAATAGAGGATTATATTAATGAAAAAGAACATTTATCTTTAAATTATGAATTATCAAAATTTTATTCAAATTTATTCAATAATATGATAGGTTTAAAAATTATTACCTTTTTTAGATTAATATAATATGCTATTCACATTAGTGCTAATCTCAAAGCAAAAACAATAATTTTTAATTTCATCCTCATACAAAATATCAGGAATATCCTTACATATTTTTATATATTCTATTGAATTAAGTACTACCAGGGGCGAAATTGCGTACTATTGAGGGAGCAATTATTGCCCCCCTTATAAAAATTAAAAACTCGAATTTTTCTAACACTAACTAATAAGTCTGTGAAAAGTCATTATGTGCAAAATAAATTATTTCTGCAACCTTATATATTTTTATTTTTTTTATAAGACCCTCAGAATTAAGGCTGGTTCCACCCCTAGTACTACGTAACAAGAAATAAAATCAAAGGAGTTTTTTTCACAAGTGATCCACATCAGAACTTTATATGAATAATAATAGATGGATCTATGGTGATTATTGGCGTCAAGAATAATGTTATTAAAGATTTGAATTTAACTATTGGTTTTGAATTATCTCTTTGAGATTGGAATCAACAATATTATAAATTAGATGAATTTTCTTAGAGTAGAACCTTAAAATGATTTCCTATGAAAATGTGCTTTATCAAATTCAATTAGTGCACAAATCTTAATGCAATCTAGTGTAAGCGCTAGGTCATACCATTCAACAAACTTGAAATTATAGATATACACAATTAAGTAATAAAAATGGTAGGTCTCAAATATCAATCCATCCCAATAGAAATAAATGAAAAGATTCATTGAATACATTTCTACAATATTTTTAACAATTAATCATTTCAACCCCAACATTGGCTAAGCTTGTACGCTTAAAACCCAAGAAAACAAAATATATTTTAATATGTTGAGTTAGCAATTTTATTTTATATTATATTTAGTATTATTATGATCATTAAATTTTCTATTTGATCGAGCAAAATGTTTGGCCCATATCTAAATCTCAAAGCAACTCAAAGGAGTTTAATCAATTGGTTATGTTTATCCTAAGCTCAAGTTGGTTATGTTTATTATTACATTAAATTTAAATTGAATGTTTTTTTTTTCTTTCTTTTAGATAATTTAATTAATATTTTCAAAATGAAGGATTTTCAATAATTTTGATTAAAAGTGAATATCTTGTGGCTATTAAAATTTCTAACAATATTTTTTTTATAAGTATAAAATTTAATTATTTATCCTTGCCTCATTTAAATTATGGATTTGTTTGAGACGACTTTCTAAATAACATGACTGAAAGCTTACATTTTTTTTTATAATAATTATAAATATATAATTTTATTCCTTTCATATTTTGAAGAAAAAAAATTGTGAAAAAATAATGACATAGGATTTCCAATACAAATTATATAATTGTGATATGAATTCCAATACAAATTATATAATGATGAACTTAAAAATTTTTGTATAGGCTTCATTTGGAACAATTTTTTTATTGCTTTCAAAAGCAGCTTTCTAGCACAAAAATGCAATGAAAGAAGCGAAAACCAATGGCCAAAAACTGTCCAGCTTCATTCGAGACAGCTTTTTACTTGCTTCTTAAATCAACTTTCTAGCATAAAATTTAAAATTTTAATACTAAAATTTACTTTAAGAAGCAGTAAGAAAACCGTTCCAAATAAAACCTTAGTATTGGATGCGAGCAATTTTATATTGCACTACTCTCAAAGTTTATTTTAGCTTTTGTATTATAGGCTGATGATGTTCTTCAACCATCGCGCAATCAAAAAAAAGAAAGCAATAGAAAGAGAGTAACTATTAAAATCTACACCATTTGTTCACATTTTTTGGAGCTTGAAATTTAATAGAGGAATCACATTTTAGGTCTAATGATTGGGTGATTATATATGAATCTTTATATTTCTCTCCATTCATATATTGAAAATAATAACACACATTATGAGAACAATCATAATATTTGATGATGTGTTGAGTGTGAAGGTTAGCAAGTTCTAAGTCAAAGAAAGTCAAAGAGAGAGGAATGTCATAAGGGCCTTCAGCAGTCAATAGAGGCAACAAAAAGCGTCACAAAAATGAGAGATTATTGTGTTCGGACATCGGACGAGAGAGAATCGTCTGATTTTTTTTTCTGTCTATAATAAAAACGCAGTTATGATAGCAACTGCACTTTGATTGCGCTTTTAATGTAAGCAGAGAGAAAACCGGACGGTTCTCTGCATCCGATATCTGCATACAATAAAAAGTTCACAAAAATCGACAGAAAAATAAAGAAATCGCCTACGAGGAAGAAAGAAGGACAATATTGGGCAATAGGGGAAGGGGGTGTTGACATAAACATCAGCAAAGTAAAAGGATCTTACCATCCAAAACAGAGCGCTTGCCCATAGCTCGCATCTATTACATTCAAGATGTCTACTGCTACAAGTGCCTAAAATTAAAGCTTCGTTTGGGAAGTCTTTTTTACAAAATAATTTTTCAATACAAAAAATTTTAATTTTTGTTCTAAAAAGACGGTAAGAATTATTAGAAATAATTCTTTCTTTAATAGATTTAAATAAGAATTTAACTTTTAACATGACACAATGACGAAAAAGGATTCATATAGCCGACCCCACATAGTGGGACAAAGGCTTGATATTGTTTTTGTTGTTGTTGTTGTTGTTGTTGTTGTTGTTACTGTTGTTCTAAAATACTGTTTTAAAAAGCAACAAGAAAGCCATCACAAACAAAGCCTAAGGGACAGCTTTCTTAATGCTTCTTAAAACAACTTTTTAGTATTAAAAAACTACTTTAAGCAATAAGAAAGCCGTCCCAAACAAGGCCTAAGTCTATAAAAAAACTATTAATGATAATTTTATTTTCAATATCATCTTCTCAAAATCAATCAATAAATAACAATATTTACATTCAGGATGTCTACTACTAACCATACAAAATAACATTACTTCGCACAAAGTCCCAAATAAGCTATGCCATAGTTTAGTTATACTGGATATTCAACAATAAATGGTACAATATTTACACATTGAATTGCTTTGCCAATAGAAACTTCGGCAAAAAAAAAGCTCATTATTGAATAACATCTGGAAAAACTGGTGAGAGGCTTCCAACACGATAAGAGCTCTTCAGTTTTATTGTATCGCTTTATTCTAGTGGTGTTCAGGCAATCAAATAGAATTAGATGCTTATTTTAGGATGGAAGTCAGAACCTGCAAAGTGTCTGGTGAAGTCATCTATGCAAGCCATCCTAATCCTCTCCGGCGTCGCGGGATTGTCGAGTGGAAACCAATCATGGCAACCTTCTTCAGCCCGAGCGGCAATAATGGCATCTTTGATGGCAAAGAGGACAACTGAGGCTAAGAAGAATGGTGGTTCACCAACAGCCTTTGAGGAGTGGATGGCCTTTGGATTTGGGACCCCCTGTGGAGGAAGAACATATGAGATGATTTGTAAATGTTTCGAATTTGCAAACTTCTTGCAGTAACTGGAAAACATTGAATTAGTGAAAAAAATAATGTCAAGGATAGGAAAAATTATTCTGTGTGGAAGCCGAGCCCCATCCGGATAACTAAACCCGCAGCTCGGTATCACTGACGTGGTTCATTTTGGTTGGTATCCGGATTAGAGCTGCATTCGACGTCCGCACAGAAAAATCTCTCCAAGGGGCCAAATGAAAGAAACCTTGAGAAGGGACACATGGAAATTAAGAGGAATATCATTCAGAGATGGAATTTTGTAAGTCCCTGGTCCACTAGTGAACAGGTTTCCAGTTCGAATCCATTTGTGATCTGCATCACCCCATTTCAGCTCTTCCAAGGCAGCCCAACCTAAGCCTTGTACAAAAGCTCCCTCAATCTGGAAAACAAATGCATGGTTCTGAATATCAGGTATATTTACATTATTCAAGTTGAATTCTCTCTTTAGAACATATATTTTGCAACCAAAAACTATAATCCAACGATTAGAAAACTCATAGAAGCCAGTGGTACATGTTTTATAGTTGTAATATTAATAAGAAATCAAATGAGTGAAGCATTGATACAATTATCCACAAAAAGCAAAAAGGAAATTAAAAATTTTACTTTTACAGCACTAGAGACTAAGGGTTCGTTTGGGACTTAAAGCAGCTTTCTAGTACAAAAAAATTTGTACTAAAAAGCTGCTTTAAGAAGCAGTAAGAAAGCCGTCTCAAATGTAGCCTAAAACCAAGATTGCCTTTAAGGCTGTATCTAACCAACAGAAAATATTAAGTCTGAGTTTAAAAGCTGTAAATCTTATATTGATTTGACAAAAAAGATCGTAGTCTGTTTTAAAAAATGCATCCATGGTCAAGATCTATAGCATCTATTAAAGCTTAGTCGAGCTTGCCTCCTCAATTTTCTACCAAATAAAACGGCATGGATGCAAATATCGTGGAACAAAGTGGGGCTAGAGGTGGATTAATTATTCTATGCGGATGTCGAACGCCGTCCGGAAACCAACCAGAATGCGCCATGTCACCCCTTCGCTCGGTACCGCTGATGTGACGCATTCTGGTTGGTCTCCGGACGGCGTTCTGCATCCGGCCTCCACATAGAATAATTTCTCCTATAGGTGGCTCTCATCCTCTTAGATTTAAGAAAATTCTATTTAGCTAAGTATAATATGAAAAGTTTACCCTTCAATTTTGATACACTCATGTAAATTATAGGAAGTTCCTCCCCCACGCCTAAATCCTTTTGCCCCCTCTCATTCAAAATCCTAATTCTATTACTGGACGTCGACTATGCTAAAAAATGAAAAAAATAATCTCATAACATCAAGGCCTTGTTTGGGACGACTTTTTTGTTGCTTTTTAAAACAGAGTTTTACTATACAACAACAACAACAACATCAAGCCTTTATCCCACTACGTGGGGTCGGCTACATGAATCCTTTTTCTCCATTGTGTTCTATTAAAAGTCAAATTCTTGTTTAAATCTAATAAAGAAAGGTCATTCATAATATTTTCTAACCAAGTCTTTTTAGGTCTACCCCTACCTTTCTTAACATAAGTCAAATCTAATACCTCTACTCTCCTAACCGGGTCATCGGAAGGTCGCCTTTTTATGTGAGCAAGCCATCTAAGGCGACTCTCTCTAATCATATCTTCTACTGGAGCTATTCCAACCTTTTCACGTATATGCTCATTTCGTATCATATCTCTAAGGGTACATCACTCATCCACCTGAGCATTCTCATCTCTGCCACACTTAACTTAGTATTATGCTTCTCTTTTAATGGCCAACATTCGGCACCATAAAGCATTGCAGGCCTCACTACCATCTTATAGAATTTTCCCTTAAGTTTGAGTTTGAGGGGTACATTTCTATCACATAACAAGCCCGATGCAATCCTCCATATAAAAGAGTTTTACTATAAAAATTTAAATTTTTTAACTAAAACTCCATTTTAAGAAATAATAAAAAAGTCATACCAAACGAAACCTAAATCTAACAAAAAACTTCAGAAGATGATATTTAACTAACAGCTTGAAACAAGAAGTAAAAAAAAAAAAAGAAAGTCTACAATACCTGTCCAATGTCGATGGCTGGATTAAGGGAGTTACCAAGATCCATAACAATATTGGCTGTCCTAGTATAGAAGTCTCCAGTCAAGGTGTCTATCTCAACTTCTGCAAAAGCTGCTCCATAAGTATGGTAGGAAAATGGAATCCCCTTTCCAACTTTCCAGTCAAAGCCAATATCCGGGGTAATGTAAAACCCGTGAGCAGAGAGGTCCACACGTTCCAAATGGCATGACAATGCCAACTATCAACGAAGAAAAGGCAAATTTTAGTAGAATTTTTTACAAGAAAAACTTTTGAGGACTTGAAATATGAAAGCTTTCATCAAGGGCTCATTTGGTTGCTTCAAATTAGAAAAAAAAAATATATTTTAGAACGTGATATTTTTATTTTCACTTATGGAGCAGGCATTCTATAGAGGCTCCATTTCTGGATGCACAAACGACAAAGCATTACGCAGGTTCATTTCATACTCCTGTTTAAAAGGTTTTTAAAAGTTATTTCATAGATTGTCAATTTTCTACCTATCTGCTCACTTGAGATCTATAAAGCAACTTGAGATCTATAAAGCACTCAATTGGCACAATTTTTTTATTCACTGAATCATCAATCAATAATGTTCAATTACACATCATGTATCCATATTTATGGAAATAGGATTACAAGGAAAATGTTTAACATTTGAATCCAAATCTAATCCTATACAATCTTGAAAAATTCTTAAATTTAAACCTACCCTTGTCTAAGAGAACATACAGCTTGATAAAATAGTTCAATTTGAAGAAAAAGTAATAGAAATTCGGCCAAAATTAAAAGACTTGAAAATGAGCCTGGTTCAAATCTATTATGAGCTGATTTGACTCCTTTTTATTGGCCTACGGCCAATAAAACATTTGTGGACTGACTTAAGATGTTTAAAAGACTCACTGCATCAATAAGATAAGAATCATATATATGCATGTGTTATTCGAAAACAGACAATTATAGTTTATTTTTAAGAAAAATAAGATCAATTGCAAAAGGCAGTTTGATACACATAATTAATACAGTATATATAACATGGCACAATTGGTTTCATAGAATTTTTTTTGCAAAAAAAAAAGGTTGAATAAGCCAAATTTTAAAATTTATAGATATTAGATTGCAAATACGTGAATTTCCATGACCATTTTGCCTGCAAAAAATTTAAAAGGATAAGTAGTGAGGACTGGTTTGAGGGAGAAGGGGGCCATGACAAGGCCAAGCGTAGGGGAAGGGCAGAAGTGGCTTTCACATTGGATTCATATGAGCTAAAGAAAAGAAAACTTAAAGAGTAAATGCATCACCTGAGAAAAGGAAGAATGCTGGTTTCTGTCTGCAATAGGCTTCATTCGTGCCTTAATTTGCTCGCAGGCATCTAAAACCGCTGCACCATACATATCTGAACTAGCAGAAGCAGCAGTAGGTGATGAATTTGGGACCTGGGCCAATACAAAGTATGCATAAAAAGGAAATCAGCTAAGTTATAGGTTAATCATATCTTCTACGCTACATTATCACTACTGATGTTTATTTAAAATACAGTGGGCGTAAAGCTATTCAAAAATATTTACTAAGGCTTTGTTTGGGATGGCTTTCTTACTGCTTCTTAAAACAACTTTTTAGATCAAAAGTTAAAATTTTTGTACTCGAAAGCTGCTTTAAAAAGCAGTAAAAAAGCCATCCCAAACGAAGCATAAAACTACCTTATCTGTACTTGTCTCTGAAATAAAAACAGAACTAAGAGGGATATTAAAAGATGTTGCAGCAACTTGCGCGATTTTTGTGTGTAGTCCTTGTCCCATCTCAACGCCTCCGTGAGTCACCAAAACAGTGCCATCAGTATAAACATGAACAAGAGCACCAGCCTGTGCACAAATCCTAATTAAACATAATCATGATAAAAAAATAGGCCAAACATAAAAAGGAGATGAAATTAAAAAAAAAAAAAAAAAGGTGTCAACACATGGCATAGAATGACTCAATTTTGACAATAACATCTCAATACAATTTAATTCTAGCAAATTGACCTAAGTCTTACAGAAAGAAGGAATATTTTTTTTTAAAAAAAAAGTACAAGCAAATTGCCCTTTTGTTTTATAATTTTCAAGGTAAAGAAGAAATATTTTGATGTTGCCCATTAAGTCCACTAAGAAAATCTAAGGATTTCTACTGATCGACTACTATTAGCTCCTACTATTAGAGATTATTTAATTTATTTATATATTTTGAATCACATAGGAGTTAAGGGTCCTCTTAAGTATTCATGTCATTAAAAAAAATATGAAGGTCATTTTATTAACATCATGATGAGATGCCCTTCAATAAAGGGAATTTTTCATGCTCATGTGCAATCATACTTGATTATTGAAGGTATGAGGTTCGTTCTGTCTAGCTAATTTCAATCGTCCCACTGTTGAATTTCATCTCTTTTTGCTTTAGGATGATTTAACCCTTTCATTAGATGCTTTGAGGATTTTTTTTTTTTTTTTGTAATATAATTATTTTTTAGACTATCTTTTCAAGTTTTGCCATACTTTATTATTTATGCCATTTTATACCAACATTTAGATCCATCTAATCAAAAGATCTAAACAATTTAATTTCCTTAATTTTTCATAATAGTTTTTTATTGTATGATACTATTGAAGCACTTTTTCATTTTAACTAACAAGCTGTAAATTTAGAGATTACATCCTTATTTATTTCTTCAATCTTTAATATAATAGAGATATTTAAACCTATCAAGCAAAATATCAGTTGATCTTCAATAATATTGATTGATCATTATGAGTTTCGCTCCTAAAATTGCATGTCATATACATTTCTTGCTTTAAAAAGAATTGTGTATATTTCTAATTTTATTTTTTCATCCCTCTTTTTGTTTTTCTCTCACCATTCCCCCAAGATGTTCATCATTCCACTACCTGCTCTACAATATTTAGTATCAAAGCACATGTTCCTGCACTTAACGAAGCACTGATATTATGTACGTTTAATAGCACATATTGATTAAATGGAATCCAATCTGCTAATAATTTTTTATTCTATTGTAAATTAATCTTAATTGTAATGTCAAAAGAAAACATTCACAAATTCTATTTTTAAGATTAATTTAAACTTCACTACCTATTTTAACTCGCTACTAATTCATATACAATTAAAGGCTTCTAAAGTGTGCTCAATTAGATGTTTAGGATAATAAACAATAAGTTAAAAGAAATTTGGTGGCATATCTTATGATGGAATACTGATAAAAATCCCTTGGAAATTTTTGCGGGTAGATTTAATGATGATGCAGAGCATCTTAACTAAATTTCTCCTTAGGCATATTTTAATTAATTTGTTATGTGCTTTTTACAAGTGCCTTCTAGAGTATTCTATTTAGGTTATATAAGCAAGTTTTGTAGTAGGGAAAGGGGATGAATGATATATTTTAGTCTTTGAAGCTTTTAAAGCTTGTTTCTCTTCTTCCCTGGATTGGGAGCCAAAAATCCTTCTTGCAGGTCGAGTCTTCCGACGATCCACTACATCAGTTGGTATCAGAGCCCGGAGCTTGCGAAGATCGATGAACTGCGAAAGAAGGTCGGCTGTCGACGACGATCGAAGCCGCAAAATAAGATTGGCGGTCGACGACGATCGACGCCAAGGAAGGTGGGCTGTTGATGATGCTCGAAGCCGGATCGCCTTCTATCAAGCTCAAGCGAAGGATTCATTGGATTAGATCGACAGGAACCTTCGGGCAATAAGGAAGATGCGAATGTCGTCGGCAACCATACCGAGGTATTCTTCTTCTTCGATCTCCTCGTCCGCTTCACGCAGACGCCATCAGTCCCGCCATACTCCCGCAGTAGTTGATGACTACGCCCCGCTCGAACTCCCTCTCCGATGGCGTGATCCACCGCCGGAGTACCCTCCGCTTGAACTCCCGCTTCGGTGGCGTGACCCCCCTCCGTTCCAACGTCACTCCGCCTCCAGAACCCAGCACCCGCCACTGGAACTCGCGACCATTCCCTCTCTCCAGCTCGATTTTGCTCTCGTACCCACGGCCCGAGTAGATCCACAGCTCGATGCCGATTCCGACTCCGTCGAAATCGTCGACGGAGAGCAGCTTGCTGGACATCCTCCAAGCCTCCAGCACGATTCGGGCCCCAACACCACTCCGCTCCCGCTGCCGCTCCCACTCAGCTCCTGTGAACCTACATCCTCTCAGGCGTCCGTCCGGGCCGCACTCCCGCTCTCGCTCAGCTTTCGCATTCCCATGCCCGGACTCCAGCATGCTAAGCCGCACACGCGCCCGCCTCTGTTTCAGCAAACAATTTCCCGATTAAATTTTCCTGCGTGCCCGGAGTCTCGCATCGATGCTGATGTCCACTTGGTCGAGGGAGAGGGTTTCGAAGGACCGCCTCGGCTTCCAGCACACAAGATCCAACTTGAATCCCAGATACGACTGCCTACCGATTTAATTAAGCTCACGCTCCCACTCAGTGTGGCATCGGCGCCTTCGCTTATACAGGATCAGTTTCCCCGCTCTCTTGACTTCTCTGCAGCGAAGACCCAAACATTTGATCACGCAGGCAGAAGCCATTCTGACTCCGCCATTTACCCGGCCCCTCCTCCCGCCCACGCGAGATCTGGCCGCTGCTGCTCATGCGAGACGGATGATGATCGCGACCAGGTCGCGATCCCACATCTAACACTTACTCAGCCGGCACGGCTACTCACACCCGTCGCCAGCCCTACACGGATCAAACTATTAAATCTCCTCCTAAGCAAGATCTATGGCATTATCACGGACTTCATATATGATCTTCCGAAGCTTGAAGTGTTTCAGCTCTGGGAAAAAGAAATTATTGGTAGCATTCTGCAACGGCAAAGCATGGATGGCCTTCTCCAACTACTTGATTGTTCTTCTAACAAACTTAATGGCAATCTACTACCGGGCGGACTCCCCGACACCAGCAAATTCAGGATCTCATCCAATATCACCTTATCTGGCAATTACCTCTTTGGTCATATCCCTTCCTCAATCGATTATGCTCTTGGACCTGATATTATCATCTTTCATCTTTTCATCTTCACCTTCAACGCCCTTATTAATGGCTTATGCAAAGCTGGGAGGATTGGAAAACTGGATCAAGCTTATGGAATGATGCAGAAAATGGTGGAGTGGTTTGAGAAGATGCCAGAATTCGGATATAGTCCATATGATGTCCCCCACTCTGTCAATGCTTATGGTCGCTTGGGCAATGTAGATATGGCTCGTGCTCTATATGATCAGGTGCTCAAAGGAAAATGGAATTTTGATCTTGCTACCTTTGTGACTATGTTTGGAGTTTATGGAGCTTCTGGTCATTTCAATGGTGCACTCAATGTGTTTGAGGAAATGAAAGAACGTGATGTGAAGCCAAAGTCGTTCACTCACAACAAGATGTTGGAGGCCATAGGTAAATGTGGAAGGCCATGGCAATTGAAGAACATTTATAAGGAGATGGTTGGTAAAAGGATAGTACCAAATATGATTACTTATTATTTGCTTCTCAAAGCTTATTCCCAAGCTTGGTATGTCATGGATCCTTGGCATTTAGATGGTGGATCAAGCCTGGAGGCATTCACCCTAAACTGTGCAGCAAGTTTATCACTTATCAAACAAAGAACTCCCGTCTCAGTTTCAAATCCATTCAGGTTCCTTTATGATATTCGTACATACAATGAACTATCAGGAATAAATGGGCCAAACGCTTTTGGTCGTATGACGGGAATGAATGGGGAAGCACAATCTAACATTTTATTATTCAGAAATGATAGTTTATTACAAGCAGCTGCAACAAATGATGAGAACAAAATTTTTGATCCAGGAGGTTTGCTATCTCCCTCCCGACAACGCGCCTCGACGGAGTCGAGGCCTTTTTGGTGCAAGGGGAGAATGATGCAGAGCATCTTAACTAAATTTCTCCTTAGGCATATTTTAATTAGTTTGTTATGTGCTTTTTACAAGTGCCTTCTAGAGTATTCTATTTAGCTTATATAAGCAAGTTTTGTAGTAGGGAAAGGGGATGAATGATATATTTTAGTCTTTGAAGCTTTTAAAGCTTGTTTCTCTTCTTCCCTGGATTGGGAGCCAAAAATCCTTCTTGCAGGTCGAGTCTTCCGACGATCCACTACATCAAATGAGCTTAGCGTTCATATGGATTTTCTAAAATAAAACCAACAATATCTATTTTAAAAGACTTTCTGGATAGGCCTCACCAGTAAATATCATGCACATCATCATAGAAGTAGAATTTATCATATTTCCTTTTCTAATGATAAATATATTTAAGACATTGTTGCTAAGCCACTCCTCAAATCATCAATAAAATTGAAAGCCTTGAATCTACCAAAATCAACTTTATGGTGATGTATTAAATAGGATATTGTTGATCATTCCGCTCTAGTCAAGCCAATACTAGCTTTAGTGTTACCTAAGATCTTTCTGTTAGGCCGATCCAGGGACCGACTGAACCGGTCCAACCTGGACCGGTTCAGTTCTGTCCCAAGCGGAATGGAACTCCCACCCAGTAAGGGGGCAGATGGCTTTGTAGGGCCCAGATGGTTTAATAGAGTAATGGTTGTAATTAGTAAAGGTTTTGGGAAGAAAAAAATTCAAAATTAATGGTTGTTTAGGGATTTCTTAATTGTATTTTTCTTTAAGTAGTTTTTCTTCCTAGAGGAGATTTTCATCTTGAATTTGGTCTGAAATTTGGTATCTCTTATTGTTGTTTGAGCTCTAATCATCGGCTAGGAATTGGGAGAGTCAGATCTTCCTCTCAAATCGAAGATTCATTGTATCGTGTTGTTTCTTTCATCTATTATTCAATCAAAAGCATATTTCATTGCAGTTTATCTACAGACTTCTCAAAACCTATTTTGAATATTGCTGAAATTTAGAATTCAGCATAGTTTTCTCTCTGGTTTCATTACTATTACCTAGCACTTTCCTCCTCCAATAGCTATTTTCCACTTCATGCCACTTGTACTAAGATCCCTTGATCGAGAGATTGGTTCTATTGAAGACATAAAAGATCATGATCTCTTTTATGATGATGATTTAGAAGAAGATTCTCAATTTTATGATGATTTTCTAGTTGAACCTACACTTAAATTTGAGGTTGATCTAATTTATATAGGTGCTTGCACTAAACCTCACAACTACATTTTCTAGAGAACAAAAACCAAACTCCAAACTTGATCCTTGGTCTCAATGTGAGAATGAACCCAATCAATTGACGTCTAATGAAGCCACTAGTTCACTAAGCCTTCTCATGTTAAGATTCCTCCTTTTCTTGTTTTTCAACAAGAAGTTGATTTTACCTTTGGGTCTATGTTGCTAGATCAATCAAATTACAGGAAAACCATTTGGAGAATGCTAACTTAATTCGCACATTTATGGACTCTTATTGATGGACTGTTTCAAGATGATTTCCACCGTAAAAGCCTAAGCTAGCTATATTTTCTGACACTAAAAGTATATGAATTCTATTGTTTATTAGTTAAAACTTTGGACTAAGGTATTTTAAGAAAAATTCGTTTCTCAAGAGAGCTAATTATTAATGTAGGAAGGAAGATCCATTGGATTTTCTAAGGTGTTTATCAGAAGTTTTTAACTTTTTTTATAATGTTAACCATCACATTTTCCATAGAAAGCTTATGGCTCATGCTTCATTAGACTTGCATGCATCGTATTGTGATCATGTTACATCATCTAATTTATGTGCATAAATTATTTGTTGTCTTGAAAAATTAGATGTCGTACATAAAGAAACTTCCATAGTTGTAGTTGTGTCCATGCTAATGTCAGGGTAAAAATGTTGAAAACTACATTTTAGTTTATGTTTATTTTGTATATTTTATGAATTCTTCTAACAATATATTACTTCTTATAAAGCTAAGATCTACTACATTTATACTTAGGGGTGTGCATTATTTGGATAAAATCAAAAAATCAAACTGAGCCGATCTTATTTGATTGGTTTGGTTCGGTTTTTAAAGTATCAGTTCAACTATTCATTAATGTAGTAGATCTTAACCAAACAATGATGATCATTAACCATACTTAATTCTTGATAAATTGAATTTCTTGACTGCCACTATAGTTATAACCCTCCCAAGATGTTGAGGATTCTCTCTCCCTCAGATGCTTTGAGAATTTAACATCAACGGCATGAGAAATCATGATGTATCTTCTAGCCCATCTTTCCTCCATCGTCGACCTTTTCTTCCATTGCATTGTTGTGTATATTTTATGACTTCTCCAATAGCAAAAAGCAACATACATAAAAACAATAGGGACAGACAAGCACAACTTAAGAAAATTTCAGGAGCTAGACACTGATGAGCATTTTTCGTTTATTTTTTAGATTATACCAGGAAAAGTGGAAGAAAGAATGCATTTCTCCGCTAGAACTTTTTTTCCCACAATTAAAACCTATGTTGCACGGATACTCCTATTTACGAGGCGTGCTGTATCGGACACGTGTCGGATACGGATACACCTCCGATACGGCACGGATACGTGTCGGAAACGGCTTTGCCATGTCCAATTAAAATATTATTTAAATTTGACTGGACCCGCGTATCGGATACGCGTGTCCTATTAAAAAAAACACTGAGCCGCAATTTACCCTATTCTTTTCGGTTTTCCACCGTTTCCGCTCAATATCCATATTCATTTATGCGGTTGAAACATTTCAAAGAGCTAGATTTTTCGTTTCCACACAAGTGTTCATCTTCTTCGTTATAGTTAAAGGAGCAGCTCGATGACGCGAGCATAGAAGCAAACAGGATCATCCTTTGTCGACAAAGAGGCTTGACGACGCGAGCATTAAAGTCGATAGGATCATCCTTCATCGACGGAGCGGCTCGACAACGCGAACAGTGAAGGCGACGTGAGCAGTGAAGGTTCGTTTTCTTCGTCGTTCTTCGTTTTCTTAATCATAGGCTCGGTATCGAAACTTGGTACTGCTTGGTACCGAACGGTACTGGAACTCAGTATTGCTCGGTACTGCTCGATACCGAGTGGTACTGGAACTCGGTACCCTCGGTATTGGAACTCGATATCGCTCGGTACTGTAACTCGGTATTACTCGGTACCAAGCGGTATTGGAACTCAGTACTGCTCGGTATTGGAACTCAGTACCGCTCGGTATTGGCACTCGGTATCGCTTGATATTGTAACTCGGTATTGCTCGGTACCGCTCGATATTGCTCGGTACTACTCGGTACCGAGCGGTATTGGAACTCAGTACTGCTCGGTATTGGAACTCGGTACCGCTCGGTATTGGAACTCAATATCGCTCGGTATTGTAACTCGGTATTGCTCGGTACCGCTCGGTATTGCTCACTATGGTGATCAGTGACAAATGGTCATGTTATAGGGAAGATGATGTTGGAAAGGCTAGGTATGTAAAAGAGAAGCTTTTCAATTATTTATGGTGGGATGAGATTGAATACATCATAAATTTCACAGACCCAATTTATGAGATATTGAGAGTAGCTGATATAGATAAGTCTTGTTTTGAGATGTGGATTCAATGCTAGCCAAAGTAAAAGAAATTATATATAGACATGAGAGGAAGGCACTTTATGAAGACTCGAACTTTTGGGATATTATTTATGTTATTCTAGAAAATAGGTGGAGCAAAAGTAATACACCTTTACATTGCTTAGCTCACTCACTAAATCCAAGGTAAATTTCAACATTTTTTCTTTATGAATTCACAATTTGTTGTTTTGTAATTTCAATATTTTTTATTATTTTATTTTAATGTTATTTGAAGATATTCAACTAAAGAATGGCTTCAAAAGGATCCTCAAAGAGTTTCTCCACAGAAAGATTTAGAAATTTCAAATATGAGGAATACATGTTTAAAGCGTTATTTTCCAAATGAGGAGAGAAGAAGTGTCAATATTGAGCTTGCTAAATTTTTTGGTTATTTAGGAGACTTTGATGACCAAGAGTCATTGCGTGATAGGTGGAGAATTGATCCGAAAATGTGGTGGATTATACATGGAGCTTCAGCACCTCTACTTCAAACAATCGCCATAAAATTGCTTGGCCAAGTTTCATCCTCATCCTGTTGTGAAAGAAATTGGAGCACATACTCATTCATCCAATCAATGAAGAGAAATAAAATTACTCCACAATGGGCTGAAGATTTACTTTACGTGCATACAAACCTTCGGTTTCTCTCAAGGAAAACTCCAACTTATATGGAAGGAGACAACATGATGTGGGATGTTGCTGGAGATGGATTTGAATCTCTTGAGGATATGGGAATATTATAAATTGCTAATCTTTCACTTGATGAGCCTGAATTAGAAGCTATGATATTTATTGAAGATGATATAGAAACTCAAAGACAAACCACTGAAGAAGCTAATCCTATCATTCATTCTATTGAATAGTTGAAATTTCATGTGTTGAACAATTTATCTTCTTGTTTTTTGTTGATGTACTAGACATTTAAATATTTAATGCTTACTTTTATTTCAATTTTTTTGTAATTTCAAATATTACACTTTGATTACTTTCTTAATTTTTATGTATTATTTATATATTATAATGTCGTATCCACGCCGTATCCGTATCATATATTTTTAAGAACTGGCGTGTCCCGTATCCGTATCATTTCGTATACGTATCGCCGTATCCATATCGGTGCAACATAGATTAAAACCATTCCGGATATCCCTTCAGAAGGTTAAGATTAATACAAAATCAGTATAACCTCACTTGAGTAACATAAAATAATGTTCCAGAAATTCAGCCTAGAATTTTTCTATACATGTTTGTACACACCTGATTCATAAATTTTGTTGTGAAGGAGATTCCAAATTTAGTAGGTATCATTGCAACACCCCGTTTCCTCCAGCGACTGTGGAGGTTGAACTGATTTACTACTTCACGAACCTTTGGAAAGTCACAGGCTGCCTTCAATTCGTCCCACACCAAATTTAATGTGGAATTCTGTACTTGTTGACCATAATGTAGTATATGTCCTTCAGGGTGAAAGTTTACTTCCTGAGGAAATAATAATGAGGAATCAACAACATATATAATTTGAACAGCAATACACATTCAATTACAAAAAATAATAACATGAAACTAAATGCATTTTACCCTTATCTCTTCAGGACTTCTTTGAAGCTCCATGGCAACATGCTGAATCCAATTCTCTGTAATTATCATACCTTGTGGCCCACCAAATCCGCGGAAAGCTGTATTACTTGGATAATTGGTATAACAAACTTGCCCGCTAACTCGGATATGAGGTATGTCGTAGACATTGTCTGAGTGGAACATTGCACGCTCAAGTACTGCAGCTGACAGGTCGAGTGAATTTCCAGCATTGTTATAGAGTTCAAGGTCCAATGCAAGAATCTTCCCAGCATTTGTGAAACCAACCTATGAATTATTTAATAAGAAACCCATTTAAATGACGAAAAACTACATAAATTAAAGTGAGGGCAAATCGATGAAACAAATTACGATTATGATATATGTTCCACTTAGGAAAGCAATGTTGCGATACGGCGCGAACCCAGCTTTCGCAAGCTTAAGGTCCCATTTTCCTTGAGGTAGATTAGAATTTAAATTAATCAGATTTCTCCTGATGATCGGCATTAGAGTTTATTTAGTTCTGAGGTTCCACTTCGTATGAGCCCAATCCCTCATAGTTAATTACCCATCCTAACGCGTAAAAGAGAACTCTCGATTAAGGATGAATCAATATTTAGCGCGCAATAGTTTTAATTTTGGTTGTGGGGAATGAAGGTACACCCGATCAAGATCTCATAGTTCCGTCGTCCCGGGTATACCGTAGGTTTCATTCTACCAATACTAACAACTGTTGAATGTAGTGTCCAGGGAATCTGATTAGCAGCTATGGGTTGCCTCCTCTCAGAGATTTCGAGTAAACCGAAGTGGATAGATGTAGGTTGATTTGATTTATGTTGGGACTTTCGGCTCTGCTTAAGAGTTGCCACTAGTTTAGATTTATGTTAAGTCTTACTACCCCATTAAGGAGTTGTCTGCAGTTTAGACTTATGTTAGGTCTTACGACCCCGTTTAGGAGTTGCATGTAGTTTAGACTTAGATTAGGTCTTATGGCCCCATTTAGGAGTTGTCTGTAATTTAGATTTATATTGGGTCTTGCTGCTCCGTTTAGAAGTTGCGAGCATGTTTGGATTTGGGTAGGGACTTACAGCTTTCATTAAAAGTAGCTCGTAGTTTAGATTTAAGTTAGGTCTTACGACTCTGTTGAGGAGTTGCCTGCAGTTTAGACTTAGGTTAAGTCTTACGACCCCATTAAGGACTTGCATGCAGTTTAAACTTAGATTAGGTCTTATGACCTCGTTTAGGAGCTGCCTGTAGTTTAGATTTATATTGGGTCTTGTTGCTCCATTTAGGAGTTACCCGTAAGTTTGGATTTGGGCCAGGACTTATGGTTTTTATTAAAAGTAGCCCGTGTGGCGGGTCTTACGGCTTCTATTAGAAGTAGCCCATGTAGCGGGTCTTACAGTCTCTATTAGAGGTTGCCCATGTGTGGGTTAAAAGAGGATCTTACTACTTCACTTTGGAAGTAGCCTAGAGGTTTTGGATACAAATAGGTCTTATAGCTTTTATTAGAAGTAGCACGTATAGCGGGTCTTACGGCCTCTATTAGAGGTGGCCAAATAGCGTTTGGTTTGTAGGACTTGCTGCTTTCTTTTGGAAGTTGTCAATGGGTTTGATTACTTCCCTTAGGAAATATTTTTTGCTCCCCTTAGGAGGATTTATAACTCTCCTTGGGAGATCGCGTGCATTATTTAGCTAGTATTTACCCTATTTTAGCTAGTACTTGCCTATTAGGCTGGCTTTAAAGTAGTTACACACCTACCATCCGACATTAGTGCCCATCTATCCTAGCTTTCAGTAGTTTATTGTGGCTTGATGGTTTCTCTTCATGCTTTAGTAGTTTAGTATTTTAACCTGCTTTTCTTTTATTTTACTTTAGCTTTTAGTACCTTGCTTTTCTTTCATAAACCAGTACCTTATTCTTTTTTTCTTTTTAAGTACCATCGTTTACTTTCTAGTAACATGTTCTTTTTCTTTCAGTGTCGTAGTTTACTTTCCAGTACCCTATTCTTTTTCTTTAGCAGTCTGCAGTTGTTTTGGTATTAATCATTTTTGTTTCTTTACCTTGTAGGTGCTTGGAGTTTTGCTGCTTTGGAGCTTACCCATGAGCACTAAAGAGCTTGCACAGAGAGTTGTTTTGGAGAGCTTGAAGGGTTTGTGTAGGAGAGGTTTTCTTTTGTTTGAGTTTTAGTTTTAAGAGTGTGGTTTCGATATAGCTTGTACTTATGATTCATTAGTAAAAAAAACAGTAATTCTTTTTCTGCCCTCAATGAAAACTTATCATCAGTGGCTCTCTTCACATTAAATAATTAATTGATTAATTTAATTAATAAAATTTTTATTTAATTAATCAATTAATTAAGTTAAATTTAATCGCTTTTAAATTTTAACGGTTCTCAAATTTTAATTGTTCTTGAATTTTTTTAAATTGCTCTCAAATTTTCAATTAATCAATCAATTAATCGAATTAACTAATTTTGATTAATTGTTTTTTATTAACAAACTAATTTTAATTAAATAACTACAATTAAGCAATTAACTTTAATTAACTAATTTCAATTAATAATCAATTAATAAGTTAATTTTAATAAATCAATTAATTTCAATTAATTTTGATTAATTAATTTTAAGTAATCAAGTAATTAATTAATTTTTATTAACTATTTATTTCAATTAATTGATTTTAATAAATTAATTATTCCAATTAATTGATTAATTTAAATTAATTAATTTTAATTAAATATTAATTAACTTAACCAATTAATTAAATTTTAAATCTGCATTAATAGTTTTTTCACATTTTAATTGATTAAATTAATCAATTAATGCTTAAATTGAATTGCTTCTCCCGAAATTTGGTAGTTTTCTGAAGCGATTTCGATAGCCTCTCTGTGTTCCCTCCAGCGAGGGATCGAGACAGCACTTGCATTGATTTCTTCTCCGCCGGATATAAGATCGATAGCACGAGGTCTTGGATTAGATTTCATCCCATCCGGATCTAAGATCGACGGGGCGAGGGCATCACTTGAATTTCCTCTTAGCTGAATCTAAGATTGACAACCCAAGGGCTTCAATTTGAAATCATCCCAGCCAAATCTAAGATCGACAACTCGAGGTATTGAATTTTATATTTTCCTGTCTTCTCCTTTTTTAATCATATTTTAAATTAGCCAACAAAGAAGTTAACATGTTCATATTCCGAGACCTGCAGAAGTTCAATCACAAGAATGTGCAACAACTTAATTAGATGTTGCAAACAAACCTTTTACACTGAAAACTGAAAACTCTCATCATTTATTGAGCATGTACATAACACTACTACAATGCATTATTCACTCTTGTTAGCAAGAACTATAAATGTTTTCTTATTTTATTACCATCCTAATTAAATCTATATTTTCCTAATGTAATGCCATTCATTATTTTGTGAATAACATTATGAAAGAAACATTAGAATCTAAATATCTAGGCTATTTTTAGTCAATAGCAAACACAATATAGCGCCATATCATGCATGCTACTCACATGTTCAAGTAAGTGTATATTTTGGTACTAGCTATAAATTTCATTTAGTGCCCGCAAAGTCTCTAATCTTTTTCACAGTTTTTTTAGTCACTTTAATTGGCAATCATACCAAAAGACAAAAAACAAGAATAAAGAAATGAAATTCAGCACTTTAGCACATCCTAAATCTTTATAGTGTAGATATTTTTGTCCATAGAATTACAATAACATGAATACCAGATAACATTCTGAGTATGGAGTTATTAGTACCTTATACTTCCCAAGGAAGCTATGTCTCTGACCAGTTATCATCATGTCCACATCCCTATCCAACGTAATTTTAATAGGTCTGTTTAGAAGATAAGATGGTACACAAGCTGCAGCAGCAATGAATGCAGATCTTGTTTCCTTCCCTCCAAACCCACCACCAATGCGCTTCGTCTTGCAAACAACTTTTGAAAATGGAAGACCAAGAACACGAGCAACGGTGGCCACGTGCTTTTGAGGAGCCTGAGGAATAAGATAAGAATCATACAGGGATTTTCTAAGAATGAAATTATCATTTAATAAAAACTTGGATACACCTCAATGGGAACTGTGACAAATATTTTTATCAATGACTAATGCAAGGATAAAAAGATTAAGAATAAGTTGTCTCTATCATTTAGACTTCGTTTGGTACAGTTTTCTTTTTGCTTCTTGAAGCAACTTTTTAGTACAAAAATTTTAAGCATAAAAAAGTCATCCCAAACAAAGCCTTAATGTGTTATGCAAGGAAGAAACTAAGCAAAATTTATGTTAAAAAAAGTAAACTACGCATAAATGGAAAGAAATTGACTTCTTTGCCTGCCAAATGCAGAATTATCAAGAAATGATCAAAAGCGCCACCAGAGAAATTTCCACTTAAGTATGTTTAACCTACTTGAGTGGAGGAAATCATATGAACTTCACTTCCACCATCAACTGGCCAAATCAGACTGCAATTCGGCTCCAAATAAAAATGTTCCTGACCTCCTACTTGAACTTCCCCTTCTAAGACTTTGTCACATAGTCCTGATTGGAAGCACCATTCAACATCTCCTTTTACCAGGCATTTCTTGCTGTTTGGAAAGAAACTTTCATTTTTAATAGCATCTCTAATAGAGAGAATTGGAGGCAATTCTTCATACTCAATCTCTACTTTTTTCGATGCAGCTTTTGCATTTACATGTGTATCAGCCACAACAATTCCAATAACCTGCAAAAAGTGTATACAAGTATATATAGTTCATGAGAAAAGCATCACAAAAAACTGACATTCCCACTACTCAGATTTGCCAATTTACCTGGCCAACACAAGTAACTTTTTCTGATGCAAATACCTCTTCATCATGGACAACAGGTCCTATCTTATTGCTGCCAGGAACATCTTTTGCTAAGAACAATCCTGCAAAGCCAGGTGAAGCTCTGGCAAGTGTATCATCTATGGACAATATGCGTGCATGAGCCTTTTTGCTCAGCACAAAAGCAGCATGAAGAGTATTTGGAGGTGTAGCTGTGTCATCAGTGTACTCAGCCCTCCCAGACACCTAAGCACAATTTTAAGTCCTATTAAAAGAAAGTAAAACTAAACTATTTAACTTTTAATGCAACACTTAGTAGTGCTGAAGGAAGAATGAGGATTAAAAAGATAAGAAAAAATCATTCACATAATAAAATCAAAATATTCTTGATCGAAAACACATGCAAAATGAGAAAGTAAACATTGTTGATATAACATAGAAAAAATTCATCAACAAGGTTTAGAAATTCACAAAGAAAAATCTAAGAATAAATTATAATCTATGAAGCTTGAGTGATTTACATGGTGTCATATATGATTGTAAGGCTATTAAGATACTTGCAGATAAAAAAACTCAAGGATGCCTTTGACAGAACCAATTTAAAATTTTAAAAGAGCAGTTAATAAGAATAAGAATGATCTCATCCTTAATTTAGGTTTTTATTTTTCCTTTATAAATAAGACTGATTGTATTGACTTTTGAACTATGATTAATGAATGAAAGTTGATTCTTTATTCCACATTGATCTAAGTTGTGAAAATAATTCACTCAAACTTGTGTGTACGGAGTTGTTCCTCCTTCCAAGTATATTAGGGTTCTTATGCAATTCCTTCTTCAAGAAATTTCTCCGCATAAATCCATGAAGAGATAAGCCCCAACTTCCTTTTCCAATCAAACAAGAAGATATTTTTTTAATTTCTCCATTAAGTTGGCATAAGACAAGAAAAATGCTTTTTCATAATAAAGTTGATCCAACCACTTGATTTTCAATCCTGTATAGCCATATATGAATTAACTGAGATAAATTAAAATTTAACCAAAGCATCTGAAACTTTTTTAGATAAGCATCTAAACTTCAATAAAATGACATGAACATAACACCTATAAACCTAACAGCATAGTTTTGAGGTCAAAGCATTAAACTAATATGAAAATTAGTTGTAAAATCTAGAAATTTGCCTTTTCTTTTTATAATTGCATTCTCTGTTTCTTTTTTGAGAAATTGCTTAGTCAAAAATGTCTAAGGCTTATTTGGCAACATCAATATTGTCTCAGGCACACAACATGCAGATCCCTATTTAAATAAATACATCAAGTTGCACAAAATCAAATTTCCTACGTGTGCTCAAACAAAAGTGTCTCTTAATAACAGAGAGTTTGCACTGGCTATAAATATAGACTAGAATTCACTTTGCTCTGAAAAGCATGCAATCAATATGAAAACTTATAAACCCTTTCAAAAAATCAAATCCACCAACATGTGTGTACATTCTCGAGTGGGCTGCCATGCCTATAGGGCATGGACATAAGTCCCACATTTCAAGCATGATCCTCCACAATATAAAGATTGGAGTCGACAAGACTTAAATCCCAAGAACTCTATCCTCTGCAAGCAAGAAGGCCATAGTCGACATAACTCAGTATAGTAAAGTTCAATCAGACAAGCAGCCCCTATAATGAGTACCCTCATCGCACATAACAACCTAAGGACTTTCTGTGAGCTTGCACCTGACAAGAAAGTGATGCATAGGGCCAACGCATCACTTTGCTTCATTCCTAAAACGTGCTTTAAGGGTTGCTTGGCTTGCTGCAAAACGAGTATAAAGTATTCCAAATGCAGGGGTTATTTGGCTTGCCGCAAAACGAATATAAAGTATTCCAAATACATGGGTTTTGAAAATATTGGTGTTTAGTTTAAAGTAAAAGGAATGCAGAGAAAAATTTTGAAAAAAATGGAATTCACCCTCTAGTTCAAATACACTGTATTTAGAATTCCTAAGATTTGGGCAATTTATAGACACACCATAAACTCGTTGCCAATACCACAGTCAGCTTCCAACTCTATCTCCGCCCGCCGGCCCTCGCCGTCCGCCAACCACCCCCAACCTCTGCAATCCACCGCTAGACCCCGACTACCGCTAGCCACCGAGGGCCATCGTCGGACACCCACCGTGATGTGAAACGTACATGCGATGATGGGTTTCATAATGCTTAATTTTAGAATGAACAATAATTATATATTTATCATAATTTGAACAGACGAA